TGCTTTATGCGCGGTAAATACTTCCTAATACTATTATAATACAGATAAGTTTTGGCACTTTATAATTTTTAACAATAAAATAAATATGAAACGAAAAAGAGATGGCAATAACGATGATCTTAGCGTTGATTGGTTTGAAAGATGAAATTAAACAAATATATTATTACAGAATTACGCAGAAGCAATGGAGAGAGGAATAGCAAAAGTAATGGCAAAAATGGGAATTTCCACATTACAATCATATAAAGGAGCTCAAATTTTTGAAGCAGTTGGTTTATCTGAAGAAGTTATTGATAAATGTTTTAAGGTATGTATTTACACAGAAACAGGATGATGTCCATTTTAATAATGGTTGATTGTAAAAAATACGAATGATTAAAAATTGGATCCAATTAATGAATACAACCAGCTGCTATGATTCAATGTATTTTAATGACGTACTTTATATTATGTTATATTATATTATATTATATTATATTATATTATATTATATATTTTACATATATTTTTGATCATTATCTTGTATTATGCCTATAGCTTCGTGTATATCTCTTGCATAATTTCATTCATAATTAATAGAAATTAATAGAAATAAAAAATGGAAAGTGGAATGCAAAATAAAATCCACTTCTTGGACTACATTCTTACCTAGTATCCACGATAGTTTGACACTCAGGCCACCCTTCTGCACCCCATTCCTCAGTGTTAAAATGCAAGATATTTTTCTGATTTAGGTATCTTGGGTCAATATTTTGTGAAGGGGTCGCACGTGACGTGAACTAGAAATTTTTGTCCAAATCCAATTCTAACCCAAGACTTGCAGGGCACACTTGACATTGTCGTAGCGTCCATAGCAATAACATTTTTCTCTCCTGTCTTTCTATTTTTCACCATACATCTGTGTACGCGTGTTCTCTGATTATTCAACTTTAATACAGACAGTTCAAGTTTAATACAGACTGTTTTTGTAACAGAAAGTGAATGTGACAGAAAAACTGATGCTACAGACGACTCACAATTGGATAGTTCTGAATGGATTAGTTATACTGAATCTGAAGAAATACCTTCAAGAATACCATTCATAGTCGGTGACACTCGTACAGAGATCGAGCGTCGACTTCAACCTCCGATCCCGAAGACATCCGCTTGAATGGAAAACTGCCTAATATTCTAACAGGAGTTAGGAAGGATTGCAAAGTCTGTTCTTAAAGAAATAAGCCTAATCAAACAACATATTATTGTAATACTTGCCTCGACAAGCCGGGCATGCATCTTGGCAATTGTTATATAAAATATCATACACAGCAAAATTACAAAGACTGATATTTAAGAAATTATCTTCATAAGGGTTTTATTATACGTAAAATGTTAAAATATAAAATTTTTGCTGCGAAACGTCTCGAGTTGCTTGTTCGCCGTGCGAAGAAGGCCTCGAGTGCAAAGGATTAATATAGCCAAAAATCCTACAAATATAAATAAAAGACAACACGAAACAACTCTAAACAACTTTCCTCGCGATCTCTTTGACGTTACGCTACTAAGGTTCGCGTATTATCTTTCGAATAAACCAATCTCGCAACCCTGAAATCTCACTCCATCATCAAGATTGCCGCGACCACCCTCGTCCAGCGTGAAATTACGAACGCGTTCGTGCATCGCGAAACTGACGTTAGCTAACTCGCCTAGGGGATGCAACCCCCGTTCGCGATTCTTCGTTACGCGCTCGAAGAAACTGCGGAAACGACGAGCACTCCGCGAAATCAAGGAGGCCAGGCCTCGTAGACGGAGTTGCTTGCGCGTGGTCATAATTCCGCCAGACATGCAGCAACCCCGTTCCCACCCCCTTTCCACCCTCTCGCGCTTTCACGTTGTTGCACGGCCCTGTACGCCGAGTTTCGGGGTTTTCACTGGCTTCCAGGTCCAACGACGTTTAATATCCGTACGCCGGATTTCAAAAGCCTCTTTTCCGGGCCGGGCCGACGCCATTGTTCGGCCACCTTCCAGCCAAAGTCGCTTTCCCGCGGCGCCAGAGTTATTTATACGCTTAAAAATTAATCCGCCGCGTTAAGGTCGTGCTTTTGGTTCAGTGGCTCGCTTTCTCGGGAGATGTAGGCTAGTCGGCTATGGGGATGCTGTTTGCGTTATTTCTGAGCTGAATCGGGCTGCTGGTCCAGGGATCCCGGGGTGAATAGGTCGGTTCGCGTGCAGTCGTGTTTCTTCTTTTGTGGCTCGTACGTTGGGATTATTGGAATGGGAGGGATGTGTAGGAAAATGTTCGTGCGTCGCATAAGCGATTGGGATTAAGGTACACGTGCCTCGCGAACGACAGATTACGATGTTTCTGAATATTTTGGAATATTTTATCGAAGGAGATAAGCAGATGGGTAATTTATCTCTGACAATTTACGACGTTTTAATGTCGGAAATGAATCGAGGATTTATGCCAGTTATCCTTTACTATGTCGTGTCATTATTTATTAATGTTTAATACCGCGAAATTATTCTATTTTATTAATAGAAAGAATATTTTTCTGTTGCAGGATAGAGTTTATGCTCGTTTGCAAGACAATAATTTTCACGTGAACGAGGATTCAAGAGGATATCTGTGGATTTAAATAAGCTGTATTGGTGAGTAATAGAAATCTTTATATAATATTAATAGCCATTTAATAATTATGCTATAAAAATTTAGCAATATTTATCATTTTTTTAATTAATTTTCGCTGCTGGCAAATGAAATATTTTGTCAAGCATAAGAATCTCAATCAGTAGTAAAGAAATTTAGGAAAATTAGAAAATGAATTCTTAAATTATATTGTGTATTTGGAAGATCCTAATCATAGCAACTAAACCCTCCATTACGATATTTTTCTCCCTATGAAATAATAATTTACAGAGTAAATTACACGTATCCCCCAGAGACAATTAGTTCTTTAATTTACAGTTAATAATTAACAATTTTCTTATTTATATTGCATCCAATAATACCTGAATAAACAATCTCTAAAATAATATCGAATATCGAACAATGTATCAATTTCAAATGTCTACATCCAAATATTTATAATTATCAGGAACGCAAAGAAATATTTCAAGTCACCGATATTAATTCACAATTTTAAATCTCTCACTCATCTTCAACGTTATTTCTCCTTAAATCGAAACTACTCCACTGAAATGAAGAAACAATCTCCGAAATAATGTCAAATACCGAGCAATGTATCAATTTCAAATGTCTACATTCAAATATTCATAATTATCAGGAACACAAAGAAATATTTCAAGTCACCGATATTAATTCACAATTTTAAATCTCTCACTCATCTAAGTGAAACTACTCTACTTAAATGAATCTCCAATTTTCGAATTGCAACTCAATAACAATCTCACACTGATCTTCCGCGTTGTTTCTAGCGAGACTAAAGCTGCTCGATTCGCGTCGAGTCACCGATATTAATTCACAATTTTCGAATCACAATTCGACGCGGCTCTCTCGCCGATTTTCCCTGAAATCCGCAGTGAAGAGACGCGTTCGTCCCGCAGTCGGAAACAATCAGTCCATTAATTCGTACACGTGGACGTCGGGACGCGACGCAGCGTCCATCATGTCAGCCGGCAGCCCGAACGATAGAATCGTCCCGGGCTTGAATGGCGGATGGCCTGATAACAAAACTCGTCTGGACTCGGGATATTAATGCTCGCGCGAAGACGGCTTTAATAAGTCCGCGACGTAATGAAAACCATTCATATAAAAGTTTCCTCCGCGAGGTGACGCTTTAATTGAACGCGGCCACGAAGAGGTCTCGCAGCCGCCACCCCCTAGGCTTCCTCTTTCTTATGCCGAGCTGTAACAAGATGTCAGAGATTACCTTGGCTCGCTTTCCCTCTGCCACCACCGGCACACCAACCCTCCGTCTCCACTTTTCTTTTCCCCAACGAATCCACAGTTACTCTCCGCTTCCCTCTCTCTCTTTCTCTCCCTCTTTTTCTCTCTATCTCGTCGTCCTCTCTCTTCTTCCTTTCTCACGGCCGCGTTTCCCCGTTTGCCGTTTTCTATCTCTGGCGACTTTCATTAAAAATTTTCTGTTGGTCGAGCCGATGGAGTCGTTTCCTCTGGAACGTTTCAATTGATATCGAGCCTACCATTCAATCGGGAACAAAAGGGAGAGAATCGTGGCCGGAGGACCGGCTTCATCGGCGAAATCGGGTTTTTCTTCTTGCAGCAGCCTGCCGGGGCTATTAAAGGATCCTGCCTCTCAGATTCGAGGTGTAAATGCGGGTTTGATGGGAAATTTCTGATGGCCGGACAGCGACAATGAGAATGATCGAGCGGAGTCTGCTTCCTGCTTCACGACTGCGTAATAGCGTGCGGCTCCTGCTCGTCCTTTCAGTTCCTTCCACGTGTGCGGGCTTTTTCGAGTTCGCGAATTTTCTGCCAACTGTGTATACTTGAATGGAACGGGTTGGCAAACTTTCGGTGTTTGACAGTAAACCTACCACGATCGGATAAACGATGGACGAAGAAAGGAACGAAGCTTAACGAAGCTTAAAAGATAAAATTTCTTTTTTAAATTATTAATCCTAAATGCAGAATTTTAAATCAAAATTTTAGGAATGGTTATTTAAGCTGTGGTAGGTTTAGGGTTAAGGAAGCTATAGGAAGTTCGAGGGTTTTTTTATTTTTGGGGGGTGAAGAAGAGAAATGGGATTTTTGGGGAATTAAATTTTTTTGAGCGTGTTTATATATGTGTATATGTATATTATTTTGGTTCTATGGAAAGGAGATGGAGTTTTTCCTGTTTGTTTAGCTGGCAGAATGTTTGAGAATTTTTGTTTTTCAAAATTAGTGGTATTTTCACTTGGTTTCGATTTTTCTTTGAGAGCACGTGGATGGAAAAGGTAGTGATTTTTCTTAATCTCGTGAAAGGATTTGGAATTCTGTAGTACGTGGTTAAGGAAAAGGTAGCATTATTTACGATTTTTCCTGAAAACAGAAAATGGAACTTTTACGGGCACGTTTGAAGAGATCCTAAAGATAAAACTAGATCTTTTATGGTGTATATATATAGGAAAGTAAAAAATTTTTTTAGTCTGATCTTTTATAGAAGACTGTAAGTTTCGAGTAAATTTTTAAAGAAAGTGGACGATGTTTAAGAGCGAGCTTTTTGGAAGAAGATAAAATATTTTCCAAGAGCACATTAATATTTGTAATATTTCACAAATCAAGAATTCATTTCGTAATTAAATTTAATATTTAATCTCCTTAATTTTCCAACATATTACATAATTTTTCCAAAACCGTCAGAAAACAAGTGTCCTAAGAGAAGAATTTAATATTCTAAAAATTACGGATGAATCCAAGAATTCAATTAATTAAATATTTCACACAATTTTTCTAAAAATACCATAACAAATGTCCTGACAGAACTCAATATTCTAAAAATTGGTTTCTCATTATACAAGAAATAAATTAAGAAATATCGCAAAGCTTTCGAAACAATTTCTAAAAATTATTTTCTGAAATTAATTATTATTATAATGATAAAAATTGAAAGTATTTGTTATAAAAATTAACCATAAAAAATTATAATAAATTAAGAAATATCGCAAAGCTTTCGAAACAATTTCTAAAAATTATTTTCTGAAATTAATTATTATTATAATGATAAAAATTGAAAGTATTTGTTATAAAAATTAACCATAAAAAATTATAATAAATTAAGAAATATCGCAAAGCTTTCGAAACAATTTCTAAAAATTATTTTCTGAAATTAATTATTATTATAATGATAAAAATTGAAAGTATTTGTTATAAAAATTAACCATAAAAAATTATAATAAATTAAGAAATATCGCAAAGCTTTCGAAACAATTTCTAAAAATTATTTTCTGAAATTAATTATTATTATAATGATAAAAATTGAAAGTATTTGTTATAAAAATTAACCATAAAAAATTATAATAAATTAAGAAATATCGCAAAGCTTTCGAAACAATTTCTAAAAATTATTTTCTGAAATTAATTATTATTATAATGATAAAAATTGAAAGTATTTGTTATAAAAATTAACCATAAAAAATTATAATAAATTAAGAAATATCGCAAAGCTTTCGAAACAATTTCTAAAAATTATTTTCTGAAATTAATTATTATTATAATGATAAAAATTGAAAGTATTTGTTATAAAAATTAACCATAAAAAATTATAATAAATTAAGAAATATCGCAAAGCTTTCGAAACAATTTCTAAAAATTATTTTCTGAAATTAATTATTATTATAATGATAAAAATTGAAAGTATTTGTTATAAAAATTAACCATAAAAAATTATAATAAATTAAGAAATATCGCAAAGCTTTCGAAACAATTTCTAAAAATTATTTTCTGAAATTAATTATTATTATAATGCTATAAATTGAAAGTATTTATTATAAAAATTAATCATAAACAATTTTATACGATAATAATGAAATTAAAATTATTTATTATAAAAATTATTTTTCTTCGACCAAATATTCGAGGTAACTCGACAGTTCCTCGATGTTCTCGACCAAAAATGGTTAATTGTAAGTTCTATCAGCTTCGCGTTATCCGTCACGAGTAATCTTGATACCCGTGCCAAAAATGCATCGCAATTCAAATTCGCGAACGAGTAGCAGAATTTAGCCGCGTTTTACCGCGGCGAGTGTCACTTTCCATTTACTTATCTCGCGGGTAACATTCTCGGTGTTTAATCTCATCGTGGCGAAGAGACGAGCGTGAAAGAACGTGGCAAAAACGCGGGACTTTTTCGCAAATACACCCGTGTTTGTATCTCGTGATCCCTTTACCTTCTGCCTTCTTCCCGTGCATCCTTTTTCGCCACGTTGCTCCTACCTTTATCAACTTTTTACGCTTTTCTCTGCACGCTTCTTTCCATAAACGAGGTTTACCGATTTGTTACGCTTCCTGTTTCTTCCCGGCATCCTTCGTTTCATCCTAAGTGGCTCTTCTACCTTCGTCTTCGTCCGTGAAATTTATACTGCGGATAAATAAAAAATTTCTTTCACTTTTATCTACGCGATACGTTTCATTCGAACGTTTATATATTTATATAACAATCGGAAGTTATTTCTGTCGAGGATTTTTTAAACTTTTTGTAAAATGTAATAAAATTTATTAAATGAGTATCGAGTACTCAATTATCGATATTGCAAAAGGAATAATAGGAAATTGTAAAAAGAGGGAATTAAATCTTCCTGTAATAGAAATAATTAATTTGATATCTTTATAAATTTCGTGTTGCTTTTTTATCTCATTTCTGGGGCTTTGAGTTTTACTAATTGTCATTTGATATTTTTCTTTATTTTTCGACATGTCGTCCTCTTTGTTCTCTGTCACGATACCGTTAATTAATTAATTTGTGTTTTCTTTCCTGTTCCCATATTGTTCAAAGGCTATCCACTACGGTGGGTGGTTAGACCATTAATTTAACATGGGTTGTTTCGGGCGAGATAAAATTGCTTTGTCGATTTTTCGTTTCCCTTTAACGAGACTGATTTAATTACTCTTTTTCGGGAGGTCTTCAGTGGAATTTTTGGTTTTAGTCGGCTACAAACGATCGTCTCCTATACATGTAAATTGAAAC